TTGAGTTCTCCTTGAAGTCATGTGCTGTCTCATTGGGAAGTCCAAAGAGTTGGCATAGAGCTGAGATGGAGATGAGTTGACTCCAACCCCGTATCACTCATGTTTGTCCTCATAGTCATGTGTAGAACTAAAATTGTCCTAATCTTGACCATTAATCTTGCCCTTATTTGAATATAAACTAAAAGAAGATGAATAAATGAGAAGGATGATAAAGAACGAAAGGTTGGCCTTGTACTCATGCTTGATGAATGGTGTGGTGAGGATGTAGAACTCATCAGTTGTGACCTTGTTGGCTTCTTGTTTGCATTGGAAAGTGGTGGAGATGAGGCGGTGCACATAGCGAATGGCTGGATGAGTGATTCTAGACACCTTTGATCTTGAAGGCAAGAATGGTTCATTGGCAAAGTGTGTCCAATCAGCAAAGGCAGCTTGTTTCCTCTTTGAGTTCTCCTTGAAGTCATGTGCTGTCTCATTGGGAAGTCCAAAGAGTTGGCATAGAGCTGAGATGGAGATGAGTTGACTCCAACCCCGTTTCACTCATGTTTGTCCTCATAGTCATGTGTAGAACTAAAATTGTCCTAATCTTGACCATTAATCTTGCCCTTATTTGAATATAAACTAAAAGAAGATGAATAGATGAGAAGGATGATAAAGAACGAAAGGTTGGCCTTGTACTCATGCATTTTGGAGCAAAACCATAGGATTTGCACTTCAAGCCGCTCCATGCACAAGCACCAACTTCAAGAGGGCCCATAAAAAGATCTACTCAATGGATTTCATCACGACCAGTTCCCTGCGTGCTCTGATTGAGTTAACTTTCCAACGCAACTGGAATGGCCTAATTTGGATGAGTAGAAACGGAGTTATAACCAAAAGAGTGAAGACTGTCCAGACGGCTCTATCGAGAAAGCAGCGCCCAACCGCGCAGTCCGGCTGGCCGAGAAACTATTGTTTCGCGCTCGGCCAAAATCATATCCGTCCGTCTGAAGTCTCGGCCAAAGTTCGAAGTCAACCGGCCGATCACAAATCGCGACCCGGGGAATTTTGCCCCGCGGTCGGCCAAGCCACCATCACGTCACGCCACGCCGCGCACGACCATGCCGCGCGAGCCGGTGAACAAAGCCTCGCGGCTGCGCAACTGATGATAGGATTTTACGGTGGATGTGTGAAAAGATATGAAATGAGATGAGTGGAATGCAATCAGTGGTATATGATGAGGTGGTAAGATGCAAACACAAACACAGTCAACAATTCCCTTTAACCATGATAGTTGTAGTACAAAGGTTATCAATCCAAAATGGGAAACTTGTCACTCTTTGAGAATATGAAACAACCAGGAAGTCAAGCAAGCAGTTATAGATTTGAAGTAACACTAACAACCTAAAAATGAAAAGCAGTGCAATAAAAGTAAACAAAGCAGTGAAGTAGCTCGACCAAGAGCTCGAGTCGAGTAGGCAGAGTACCAGCTCGATCGAGTTTAGGGACGAGTTGAGACAAACAAGCTAAAGGTGACGACTTTAACAAGATAAAGAGAGAATTAGGGTTCAAGACAGGGTTTTGCAATCAAAGGAATCTACACTTAATCAATCTAGCTCTTAAAACTCCTTGTATCAAGGCTTCTCTTGATATTGGGCTTCTCAATGCCTAGCCAACCCTTTCCCAAGGTGGAGGCTATCAACCAAGGAATGATCTCAGAAACAGGGGGTTAGCCAGTGAGAATCAAACCTTGGAGGCTATAGGATCATTGCCCAAACTAATCCATCCAACCCCTTAGACCTCTATTGTCTAGAGCAAGAGATATTGGAGCTCTTAGTGGATCTTTTCCAGCGAATGCCATCACTTTCGTGTGGGGAGTCGCCTAAGGACTTACAAGCCAGGGGTAGTGGTCATGTAGCCTTAAGATCTATCCAAAAGAGAGAGAATCTAGATTAAGACCATAAGCTAGAAGGATTAAGCATATGAAACCTCTAATCTATCCCATCTCAAACCCCAATGGGTAACTACTCACTACACATGAATGTAAACACAAGCAAATGCAATAAAAGAGACATCATAAGAAAGAGGAGATGAAATTAAACAACTTTTATTGAAATAAGCAAGTGCAAATACAAGAGAGATTATCCAGGATCTAAGATTCAAGAAGCAAGAGCTTCAAGAACACAAAGATGGGATTAGATCTCTAAAAAGTAAAAGACAATAAATTAAAAGAAAGCTAAAACAAAAGTAATCTAAAGCTTGGTGGTTTTTTCGTGGCTTAGAGCCTTTAAATACAAAGAGGATTAGGTTTAGGGTCAAAGGAAGTCAAGGGGGAAGCAACATTTTTCGGGTTTGACTTTGACTCCCCAGCTCGATCGAGTTGAAGCTTGGCCGGTCGAGTTGAGGAACTCGACCGGTTGGTCGAGTGGACGGTCGAGCTGGTCTTCAAGATGGCTTCTCCCTTCTTCCTTTGCGTATCCAGTTGAGCTGCTTCCATGTGCCAAGTCCCTCCATGCTCCTATGTCCCATATGCTCCAGAATGCTCCAAAAGACCTATTTCAAAGGACCAAACATGCATATGTATGCAAATGCAACCTAAAACTAACATGAATGCATAAGAAGAGAAAAGGAACAAGATATGATGCAAATGGAAGCTAAAACTATGCAAAAGATGCATAAAAGATGTGCTAAAACTATGTAAAATGCAAGTACATCAACACCCCCAAACTTGAACTTTGCTTGCCCTCAAGCAAACAAATAGAACAAGAAAGAGATGAGGTTTGAAAATAGCTGATTCAACACTTAAAAACATGTCCTCAAAAGCGATTTGCTAAATGTCCAACTTAGAGATTCTAGAATGCAACAAGGTGAGAGATATTCATTAAGATTTAACCATGCTTATCAACATCAATCCCACTTCACAGTCACTCAAACAATGCATTCAAATCAGCAAATCCCTTTAACATTCATTAAGCAAAAACAGTGAACCAAAAACATGCAAGATCAATCAACTCATTTGGTTTCAAGGGTTTATGGGTTAAGAGACAAAGAGGGTCTCTTTTGTATGGTGGTTTAGTAACAGGGATCTCTCAAGAAAGTGGCTTTGCTTTGGCAGAAGGCTAAGTGTTAGAACCAAAGATGATGCAAGAACAGCAGCTCGAGCCGCCTAATCCTAACTCGATCGAGTTCAACACTTAGAGCTTTTTAGAACAAAATCCTAACTACCCTTTTTGGCATTTCGCCTTTGAAACTGAGGAGCTTTGCTCACTTTTCTTTTAAGAACTTCCTAGGGAGAGGCTTCTTGAGGTAACATCTAGCGGTTTGGGATTTTCTAAACACTTAGGGAACTTTTCTTTCCTTTTTGGACACTTGAGGCTTTGCCTTCTTTTCATTCTACTTAGAACCCTTTTTACTTTCCTTTTTTAACTTCCCAAACCTTTACTAGACCCTTTTTAAACACTGCCAACTCCCTGGACTTAACCAAACTCTTTTTCCTTTGGGTTTTTCCCAATTTTTACCACTTTTCTGGTTTTTACACCCAACTCGATCGAGCTCGAGTTGGCACCCCCAAACTTAGCCTGAAAACAATCCCAAGAGAACTAGACAACTAGAACTACTGCCCCTGCCGGTTTAAACACAACACCTTATGCTAAGCAAAGCCAAGAAAGGTTCTCACATTCGCACAAGAGATAATAATGGGGTTTGAAATGAAAAGGCTTAGGTTTAAGGTGTGGTAACTGTCTCAAAGATAGAGATCAGCTATCTGGACAAGCAAAAGGGATATGAAAATGGTAAAGAATGTCCAGATATGTATGTGGTAGCCATGAGTTGAAATCAAATGCAAGCATTGGTAATTAAAGATCAAGTTATGGTTCAAATAGATAGGGAAATGCATCAAATCACAGCAATGGTTGAATGAGATGTGCATGCAGCGATATGATCAAGATAAACATGGTTCTTGCTGCTCAATCAATCTCACCCTAATGCACAAAAGAATCTAAAAACAGGGCACTCAAGAAATCGCAAAAGATGGACAAGTTTTCAAAGTCAAATCAACAATGCAAGTGAAAAATGCAATCCTAAACAAGTCTAACAAATATGAATGCAAAAAGATGAAAATATTTTTGGATTTTTTGAAAATTTTATGATTTTTTTGGTTTTTCTATGCAAAAGATAAATGAAAAACTAAGAACAAAGAAAACAAGGTTAAATCATCTCTTGAACCCTCCCCCAAACTTAAATCACACAGTCCCTTGTGTGAGAAAAATTTAGTGAAAGATTCAAGAGGGCAAAACCAAGAAAAAACAAGAACAAAACAAGAAAATATGAAATGGTATATACAAGGGTTGGTGTTTGGATACCTCAGTGTCCCCCAAAGAACTGGGAGACTAGGTCGTGGTCTGGAGATGGGAGACGGCCATCAGGAGCACTCCATGCAACTGGGGTTGCCTCTTGTGGCTCACTCGATCGAGCTTGCGGCTCCTCTTCCTCCTCTTCTTCATCTTCAAAGTGGGTGTGGCTTCCTTGGCCTTGGTGGAGCATGGCTAGCTCGTACTGTCCATAGGGGTTCCATCTACTCGGGGAGGCTCCTGGTAAGGCATGGGATCGTATTCAAATCCCGGATCCTCAAACTGGGGCTCCTCCAGGTCAACTCGACCTCAGCTCGATCGAGTTGAGTTTCCTCTGTTTGGACTCGATCGAGTCCGGTGGTCGAGCTGGAGCGTCTGGCCTTGGAACTCTTCCTCCTTCTCTGCGTGTTGTCTTCTCCTTCCCTTGGCTCGAAAGAAGAGGCTCTGTGAGGCTCTTGGGCAGGGAGCCTCCTTGGAGTGGTGAGGAGTGACCTACTCCTAGGGAATGTGGGGGCCTTGGACTTCTTCTTGCTTGAAGAACCAGAAACCTTCTTCTCCAAACTTTTGATCTTGCTCACCATCTTGTCCATGGACTTTTGCATCTTCTCAATGGCTTTCCCTTGCCATTTGTTGAACTTTTGGAGAAGTCCAATCCTCTTGTGGCAGCCACAACAGAGGGGTTCATCCTTGGAGCCTCATACTCCTCAAAGTAATAGCACTCAGGCTCACCCAAATCGCACTCTCCTGGACCTGATCTTCAGCTCGACTCAGCTCGATCCTCAGCTCGATCGAGCTCAGGCTCCTCTTCTCGCAAATCATCCTCATGCCCAACTAATGTGTACACAGGGGGTCTGAAGTCAATGTTCTCACCCCTAACTGTGGTGAGCTCAGGGTTGGGCAGGAGAAGCTTGGAGGTCCAGCCAATGGATGGTGAACTTGAATTGGAATCTCCCATCCAACTCCTTGTGCTCAATGAGAAGGTTGGTCTTGCAAAACTTGATGTCCATCCAACCTGGTTCAGTGGCTCTCTATCAGTTGGGTTCACTCCAGCAGCACACAAGATAGGTGTGATGAGCCCTCCAACACTTAGCGCCTTCCTCGTTGATGCCTAGTGTTGTAAGCTGTGATCTTGTAGGTAGGAGATGGTCAAGGAAGGCATCAAGTTCCCTGTGTCAGATCTATCTCCCCTTGATCCTCTTGCCATCCTTGTGCGTGAGAGAATGGGCTTGATTCCCATGTCAAGAAACTTGAGTTCCCTCGTTGATTGTCCCGGTCGCCTTCCTTGCAAAGAAGGTGTTGGCAAGTGCCTTGTGCACATACCTCAAGACTGGGCTCCTGATCTGAGCTGCCTTGGACCTTGAGGAAGAGTACACTCCATCAGCGATTGTAGCCCAAACCCTTTGGAGTTCCTTTTCCTTGAAGTTCCACTTGGTTCCCTCTCCATAGTTGAACCCAAACAAGATCTCCAAGCTGCCTAAAGGTCACCATTCTCTTCTCTCCCTTAGCCAAGAACGTGATCCATCCCAATCCTTGGTCCAAATCAGCTCGATCTCCTCTCATACATGTGGTACCTCATTGAAGCTAGAACTCGCAAGTGAGCTCCTTGTAGGATTCCATGTGGTAAGAGAAGAAGCTTGGCCAAGTGCATGTTCTTGAGACCAACTCCACATCCTCAAAGATTCCAAGGGCCTTCATGTGTCAACATGTGGGTACTTGGTCTCCAAAGTCCATGGAGAAGAGAGCATTGTAGTGCTCTTGGTACATGGGGAGCTCATCCTCTTCCTCTTGCCTCCTCAGCCTCCTCCATGGCTCTCTCTTCTCTTGCTCACTTCATCAACCAACTTCACCTCTTCTCCTTCCTCTTCACTCTCAGTCTCATCACTTCTTCATTTGGAGAACCATTTCCCTCCTCTTGAACAAGGTTCACTCCAATCTCAAACTCCTTGCTCACTCTCACTACTAATGGATCATTCCTCTTCTTGGTTCTCCTTTCTTCCCTCAATCTCTCACTCTCAGACTGTCCTTCAGAGTAGACATATCCCCTGCATCAGATCTCTTCCATCTCTTCTCGTCTCATCTCCAAATCCTTCATCTTGCAGCCTTTCTCTCCCTTGCTTCTCTCCTTTCCTCTGTGACGCGGCTTCCCTCACTGTCAACATCTTGTTACTGTTTTTCACTAAAGTACCTGAAATGCATCAAAGATTACAAAGAATTAGAGTTGTAATGATCGGTTTGGTCAACTCGACACTCAGCTCGATCGAGTCAAAAAACTCGAGTGACAAACTCGATCGAGTTGGGTGAAAACAGAGTATAACCGAACCTAATTCAAATTAAGAGCTGGAAAGATGCTAATCAATCAAATTGAACCAAGAACAACTAGTAAATGGAACAATGAGCAATTCTAGTGAAAACAAGCATCTTAACCAATACCAAACTCAAATTCAATCAAGCACATGCAACAAGTTCTAAAGGCAAAACAGAGGTGAGGTGAGGCAAATTCACAAGATTATACAAAGAAGCAAAAGAAAGCAATTACTCAAGAAAAGTCCACAAGGGACACATGCAATCAAAAATCAAAGGAAACAAGCAATAGGAAATCGAGATGGAAGAATCAAGGGTTTTAGGGTTCATACCTTGCTTGAATGATGGAATTGAAGAGCAGTAAACTAAGAACAAGCAAAACAAGATGAAGAACAAAGGAAATCGCAAAAACTTAAGAGAGAAAGATTGAAAATCGATTTCTTGTGGTGAAGAGAGAGATGGATGAGTTTCAGAAATTTAAGAGTGTGGGAGAGAGGAGAGTGGGATTCGATCGAGTTATGGGGAAGAGAGTGTTTGAGATGTGTGGTTGAGATTAAAAGATGAAATAAAGAGGGAACAAGAAACTAGGGATTCTCTGATCAATTAGGGTAGTGGGGGACCAAAATCAGCTTGTGGGACCCACTCCCTTGACCAAGAAAACGGTTATGAATTTGAAATTCAAAAACTTACCTGGTCGAGTTGTGTAGCTCGATCGAGTTGCCCTGGTTTCTAGCTCGATCGAGCTGTCGGTCGAGCTGGCTCCTTGACACCTAAACTTAACTTATTCAAAGGTTAAAAACATAAAGATAGATAGAAATTGCATAAATAGAGTATGTACAAGGATAAACATGGGACTTCCTCCCAAGTGAGCTTGTTTAAGGTCCCATAGCTTGACCTTTACCTTCTTAGGCATTGGTTGAGCTAGTCCCACCATCAAGGGTGATAGTGAGGACTTGAGACAGAAGCTCCTTTAGCTTGGTTGGGTCCCTGGACTGTTCTGAAGTCACCAAGGCCTTGGCTCTAGAGAATGGCCTTGATCTCCCCTTGTACCTTATCTTGTACTCAATCTTCCCATTTTCAAACTTGGTGGGGAACAAAGTCATTGTGAGCTGAGATGGCTTGATGAAGGGGCCTGAGCTGGTGGATCCTTTCTTTTATCCCTGGTCTTGCCTTAGAGGCTACATCCTCCCCTTCTTTTAGAGCCCTTCCTAGTGGCTCATCAAACAAAGCTTGAAGGCTCTCTTCATCAAGCACACAAGGGGCTTGAACAAGTCGCTCAGCTCTTGGCCTATCAGATCGTGGTTTCTCAACTCTAGCCCTCTCAAGACGTGGCTTCTCAATCCTTGGTCCTCTCTCATCCTTATCCTTCCCAACTCTTGGTTCCTTGTCAACCCTTTCCTTCACAACCTTTGTAGCTCCATGACTCTTAGAACTGAGATTGGTACTGTCAATTGTGGCACAAAAGTCTGAACCTCTAGGCTGCAAGCGATATGACACCAAACTATTCACCTTGTGAAGGATCACTTCTTGCTTGTGAAAGTCAATTGAAGCGCCAACTGTACTAAGGAAAGGGGTTCCCAATAACAGAGGCAAATCCTTCTCTTCTTCCATTTCCATCACAGTGAGATCAGTTTGGATGATGCATTCTCCAATTTTCAAGTGATAGTTCTTGAACACTCCAAGAGGAGACTTAGAAGTTGCATCTCCAAACATGATTGAAGTAGTAGGGCGCTGCAAGGCTCCAGCTATGCCTAGCTTCTCTGCCATGGAGAGAGAGATCAGATTGATGCTTGCTCCAGAATCCACTAAGGCATTGTCAATCTCAAGATGCCCAAGTGTGCAAGGGAGAGTGAATTTCCCTTGATCCTTGACCTTTGGTAGGAAGGTGGGTGAAGTAAGCAGGTTGAACTGATGAGTAGACTCTTGTAGGACCTCTGAAACTTTATCACTGTTGGCTAGAACATCCTTGACCATTTGCATTTGATCAAATGCCTCACTCATGCTATCCATAGAGGCAACTCAATTCCAATCCCACTGAGATCTCTTCTGAACTTGTGAATCACTTCCTTGTGACCTTGACTAAGTAGGCGAGACGAGGAAGCGGCAACCGGTTGATAAGGATCAAGCAAAACAGGTTGTCGGACAGAAGAGGTCGGACTCGATCGAGCTAGAGTTGGACTCGATCGAGCTGCCGATCGAGCTTGTCGTGCGAGCTCAACTGGTGAAGTGTGAATGGCCACAGTAGGTGCCTGCACTTCTGGTTGATCAATCTGGACTCCAGGAGCCTCAGCAGCAACAATCTCTTCATCATTCAGCAGTAAACAAAAATCTTCAATGACCCTTTCTTGATCCTCTTCTTCAACAAGTCCTTCTTGAGTGAAGATGACCTTGCACTGTTCCTTGGGGTTCTGAATAGCTTTACCAG